ACTACAGGCGCCCGCCACCTCGCCCGGCTAATTTTTTGTATTTTTAGTAGAGACGGTGTTTCACCGTGTTAGCCAGGATGGTCTCAATCTCCTGACCTCATGATCCACCCGCCTCGGCCTCCCAAAGTGCTGGGATTACAGACGTGAGCCACTGTGCCTGGCAAAGTAATTTTTTTTGAGACAGAGTTTTGCTCTGTCACCCAGACTGGAGTGCAGTAGGGTGATCTCGGCTCACTGCAACCTCTGCCTCCCGGCTTCAAGCGATTCTCCTGCCTCAGCCTCCTGAGTAGCTGGGACTACAGGCACCTGCCACCATGCTCTGCTAATTTTGTATTTTTGGTAGAGACAGGGTTTCACCATGTTGGCCAGGCTGGTCTCGAACTCCTGACCTCATGATCCGCCCGCCTTGGCCTCCCAAAGTGCTGGGATGACAGGCGTGAGCCACCGCGCCCGGCCTGGGTCTCTGTTTCATAGATGAGTGGACTGAGGCCCAGGACAGGCAGCCCCTCACCCCCGTCTCGCCTACCCCTTCCTCCCCGCAGAGACCTCCGAACTGGCCTGGTGGTGCTGGGCGCCCATGCCCTGCGTACCACAGAGCCCACCCAGCAGGTGTTTGGCATCAGTGCTGTCACCAAGCACCCCGACTTCCACCCTGTGACCCACGTCAACGACATCTGCCTGCTGCGGGTGAGCCCGGGGGTGGGGGGAGGGGTGGCCCGTAGAAGTGTCTGCCACATGGTTGGTTTTTGAGATGGAGTCTCGCTCTGTCGCCCAGGCTGGAGGGCAGTGGTGCCATCTCAGCTCACTGCAAGCTCCGCCTCCCGGGCTCAGGCGATTCTCCTGCCTCAGCCTCCCGAGTAGCTGGGATCACAGGCGCCGCCACCACACCCGGCTAATTTTTATACTTTTGGTAGAAATGAGGTTTCACCGCCGGGCGCGGTGGCTCACGCCTGTAATCCCAGCACTTTGGGAGGCCGAGGCGGGTGGATCACTTGAGATCAGGAGTTGGAGACCAGCCTGGCCAACATGGTGAAACCCCGTTTCTACTAAAATACCAAAATTAGCCAGGTGTGGTGGTGCACGCCTGTAATCCCAGCTACTTGGGAGGCTGAGGCAGGAGAATGGGTTGAACCCGGGAGGCGGAGGTTGCAGCGAGCTGAGATCGCACCACTACAGTCCAGCCTGGACAACAGAGTGAGACTCTCTCAAAAAAAAAGAAAAAAAGAAAGACCCTTTGGGCAGCTGACGGTGACACTGGAGACCCAAGGGGTAGGGGTTTATGTTGGCAGAAGGAACGGGGCCTCCTGACCCGGCCTCATGGTGGCCACCATTGATTTCACTTCACAAGGGCAGAACCAGGGGTCCCATGGATAAACTGAGGCAGGAGCGGGGGTTGGGAGGGAGCCTGGTGGCCTGAACTCATGCTCTCCCTGCAGCTGAACGGCTCTGCTGTCCTGGGCCCTGCAGTGGGGCTGCTGAGGCTGCCAGGGAGACGGGCCAGGCCCCCTACAGCCGGGACACGGTGCCGGGTGGCTGGCTGGGGCTTCGTGTCTGACTTTGAGGATCTGCCGCCTGGACTGATGGAGGCCGAGGTCCGAGTGCTGGACCTGGACGTCTGCAACAGCTCCTGGAAGGGCCACCTGAGCCATACAATGCTCTGCACCCGCAGTGGGGACAGCCACAGGCGAGGCTTCTGCTCGGTAAGATCCCCTCCCCGCTCCACCTACTTACTGTATGGGGAAACCAAGGCCCACAGAGACAGTCAGGGCCAGGAAGGGCCTTGGGAACTGAGTCCCATTGATATTGGACCAGATGGAGAAGTTGAGGCCCAGGAAAGATAGGGAGTTGGCAAGGGTCACGCAGGGCTGTCATGTTCAGTTGCGCAGGTTGTGCACTGCACAAAGAGCCACACACTTGTGTATTTGCACAAGCAGTGTTCAGTAGAGGGTAGTAACAGATTGAGAGAAAGCAGCTCCCACTCCTAAAATCTTGTCAGATAAACGAATCCCCTGGTGCTAAGGGAGACACGGGGCCTGGAAGGTCTTTTGCAGGCAAGAGAGCGACTTGGTTCAGGACACACACTCTGGAACCCGGCAGCCCAAGCCCAGGAGAAACGAGACTGTCCACTTTCCCAATGTGTGACCTTGGAAAAGTCACTTGATTTCTCTGGGCCTGTTCTTCTCCATCTGTAAAACTGCCACCCGAATAGTATCTGGTGTCAGAGTGGATTCCAGATGGCAGTTAGGAGGGTAGGATGAGGGATTTTAGGGTGAGTATTCGGGGAGCCCTCTCCAAGGAGAGCACCTTTGAGCTGAGACTTGAAGCAATCCTTAGAAGATTGGAGGAAACACATGCAAGGCAGAGAGACCCATTACTGGAGGGCGGCCGCGTACAGCTGTGCAGGTTGTGCACTGCCCAGAGCACTGCAGACTCGAATGTTTACACACGCAGCATCCAGCACAGGCCAGGAACAGGCCTCCAGGCTATGCAAAGGCTGGAACACCGAGGAGGCTGGCGGGGGAGGCCGGGTCCTCAGGGCCTGGATGGCAGAGATGAGTTTACTTTTTCCTTGGAGAGCAGTAGGGAGCCACAGAGGGTTCTGAGGCAGGGAGGGCAGTGGTGAGATGTGCCTGCAGCAGCTCCCAGAGGACCTGACCTCACCTCTCCTTTTACTCCAGGCCGACTCCGGGGGGCCCCTGGTGTGCAGGAACCGGGCTCACGGCCTCGTGTCGTTCTCCGGCCTCTGGTGCGGCGACCCCAAGACCCCCGATGTGTACACGCAGGTGTCCTCCTTTGTGGCCTGGATCTGGGACGTGGTTCGGCGGAGCAGCCCCCAGCCCGGACCCCTGCCTGAGACCACCAGGCCCCCAGGAGGAGTCGCCTGAGCCACAGCCTTGCGGCATGCAAATGAGGTTGCTGCTTTGAGGCCTGGAATGTTCCATGGCTGGGGCAGGGGGTCCCTGGGGCCCCAGACACCGGGAAGCCTGATGTTCAGGGTTGGGGTGGGACGGGCAGCGGTGGGGAACACCCGTTCCGTATGCAAAGGGCAGAATCTTACCCAGTAAAATGTTAACTGACCTCCAGCCTCACCCTCGGGTGGTCAGCGGCAGGGTCCACCCGTGTTTGTGTCATGGCTCCTTGTCCGCAGCCCCTTTCCACCTTCCCATGCCCCCCACCGTGAACCCCTCTGGGTCCACCCCCGCAGGCCTGCAACCCACACTCCTGCAGCCTCCCACCTGGAACGCTGTTCCTCCACCTCCCTCCAGCCGGCTAACCACAGCACAGATGAGTAGGCTGGGAAACGGAGGCTAGGACGCCCTGAGCTCCCTCTGCAGGGCGCAGGGGCGGCTGGACACCAGTGCAGGCTTGCGCCGGCCACACCATAGAATCCCAAGAGGGTCTGGCCTCCCATCCAGCCTGGCGTTCATCCTCTGAAAACCACGGAGAATAGCGCCGGGTGCACTGCAAGTCCCAGCTGATGTTACTGTCACAGCTTGTTATTGTGTTATTTTTTATTTTTAAATTTTATTTATTTTCTTATTATTAATTATTAATTTTAATTTTATTTTTTGAGATGGAGTCTCGCTCTATCACCCAGGCTGGAGTGCAGTGGCGCAATCTCGGCTCACTGCAAGCTCCGCCTCCCGGGTTCATGCGATTCTCCTGCCTCAGCCTCCCGAGGCTGGGACCACGGCACCTGCCACCACGCCTAGCTAACTTTTTTTGTATTTTTTAGTAGAGACGGGGTTTCACCGTGTTAGCCAGGATGGTCTCCATCTCCGGACCTCATGATCCACCCGCCTCGGCCTCCCAAAGTGCTGGAATTACAGGTGTGAGTCACTGCACCCGGCCTTTTTATTACTATTATTATTATTTTGAAACAGAGTCTCCTTCTGTCACCCAGGCTGGAGTGCAGTGGTGCGATCTCGGCTCACTGCAACCTCCTCCTCCTGGGTTCAAGCGATTCTCCCGCCTCACCCTCCCGTGTAGCTGGGATTACACACGCATGACATCACAGCTGGCTAATTTTTTTTTTTTTTTTTTTCAAGATAAGAGTCTTGCTCTGTCACCCAGGCTGGAGTGCAGTGGCATGATCTTGGCTCACCGCAACCTCCACCTCCCAGGTTCAAGCAATTCTCCTGTCTCAGTCTCCTGAGTAGCTGGGATTACAGGCACCCGCCACTACACCTGGCTAATTTTTGTATTTTTAGTAGAGACAGGGTTTCACCATGTTGGCCAGGCTGGTCTCGAACTCCTGACCTTGTGATTCACCTGCCTCGGCCTCCCAAACTGCTGGGATTACAGGCATGAACCACCACTGCTAGCTGATGATGCTATTATTATTATTTTAGAAACAGTGTCTCACTGTGTCACCCAGGCTGGAGTGCAGTGGTGCCATCCTAGCTCACTGCAGCCTGGACAACCTGGGCTCAAGCCATCTTCCCACCTTAGTCTCCTGAGTAGCTGGGACTACAGGGGCACTTGACCTTTTTTTTTTTTAATGTAGATACGGGGGTTTCACTATGTTGCCCAGGCTGGTCTGAAACTCCTGGCCTGAAGTGATCCACCCACTTTGGCCTCTCAAAGCGCTGGGATTACAGGGGTGAGCTACCCGCCCCGGCCCTAATCCTGTCATTATTATTACTGCTATTGTTCACCCAAGTCCTTCAAGGCTGGGCCTCCACTTCTGGGCCCCAAGCCAGCTGGTGTCTTAGGGCTGCCCTAAGCCATCTTGTCTATCCTGTGTGCCCTCCCCAAAGGCCTATTTTCTCTCCCTCCCCTCCCGCACTGCCTCAGCCCCTCCTGGGCTTGTCTACTGCCTGGAGAGGCACTGAGGCCCAGAGGTGGCCAGAGGCTGCCCAAGGACTAATGCTGGGTCTCTCTTCTGGTGCCTCCAGAGCCCCCACACAGCACCCCAGGCCCCATGCTGCCAATCCCACGGCCGAGGGGGTGGCCTGAAGCCCTGAGAGAGGAGACAAACTGAGGCCTGGACACCCCAAAATGGCTTGAGTCTTTATTTCTTTGGTGAGGCAGGGCCCCAGGGTGGGGAGGGCTGCCTGGTTGAGGCTCCCGTAGACCCACCAGCCCAGGGGCACTTTTCTGGGCACCACAGGTAAGGCACTGCCTGGGGGCTGGAGGAGGCTGGAGGAGGATGCCCAAGCTCCCGGCACTCCTCACCCCAGACCGGGGAAGCTGGATTTCCTCCACGTTGTCCCCTCCCCATAGCTGGTCTGAGGCTCTGGTTTACACGCAGGCACAGGTAGGCAATTCTGAGCGACAACCCAGATGGAGGGGAGGGTGAGCCGTCATGGGACAACTGGCCCAAGACCAGCACCTGGCTGGTGTCACCAGCTCTGGCTGTGCTGGTGGGTGAGGCAGGTCTGGCACGTAGCCGGGGCGGGCTACATGTAGGGGACCAAGGAGCTCTGGGTGTGAACCCCACCTTGGAGGCAGCAGGCACCTAGTGGTGCTGCTGGGACACCCAGCTCCAGGACTCCAGATGTCACACATGCGTGAGTCTTGGCATCTATACCCTCCTCGGGGCCAGTGGGTGAGCAGGGGTCCGTGGTCCCTGCCGGAGTCCCTCAAAGTGGACTGGGCTCCGCTGGACACAGTGCCCTGCGCTGAGCTGCCGCTGGCTGCCGCATGCCTGAGACGGTGTGATGTCGCCTCGTGAACTGACGTGGACGGCAGCAGGGGAGGCGCTGGGCGGTTCTGTGGCTGAGCACGGCCCGTGTCAGGAGGACAGGCCGTGCCCTTTCCCATGGGTCACACTGGGCATTTCTCAGCGGCCTTTGCAGGACGGGAAGGGGCATACAGAGGCAGTGGGGAAGCTGGAGTTCTTGGGCTGGCAGGGAACAGTGGCAGCCTTCTTGGCCTTCATGAAGGGCCTGGCTTGCTGGACTGAGGTCAGTGTTCTGAGGTTCCCACACACACTCAGACTAGACCCTCCGTACACACCTAGGCTAGACCCTCCATACTCACCCAGGCTAGACCCTCCGTACACACCACCCGCTGAGCTAGACCCTCCGTACTCACCCAGGCTAGACCCTCCGTACACACACACCCAGGCTAAACCCTCTGTACTCACCCAGGCTAGACCCTCCGTACACACCCAGGCTAGACCCTCCTTACACACCCAGGCTAGACCCTCCGTACTCACCCAGGCTAGACCCTCCTTATACACCCAGGCTAGACCCTCCGTACACACCCAGGCTAGACCCTCCATACTCACCCAGGCTGAAGCCGTCCGTACACACCCAGGCTAGACCCTCCGTACTCACCCAGGCTAGACCCTCCTTACACACCCAGGCTAGACCCTCCTTACACACCCAGGCTAGACCCTCCTTACACACCCAGGCTAGACCCTCCGTACTCACCCAGGCTAGACCTCCTCTGCTCCTCCTGGCCTAAGCCCAAGGCCCCTGTTCTAGGACAGTTGCAGGGCTGAGAGAAAAGCAGTCATGCCTCTTCAGGAATTACCAGCAGGGAATGCCCAGCCCTCTTAATGGTAGCAATAATTAACAGGTTATCCCCAAAGGGAGCAGAGCAGAAGGTGGAGTCACTCCCCAGCAATAGGTCTTAGGAGGGTGGGCAGCTGTAGAAGGCCCTAAATCAGGCGCTCGGTGTCGGGTGCAGGTCTGTCCACCACCAGCGGCCCCAGGCCTCCCTTCCTCAGTCCTTCCAGGGGTTCTGGGATCCCAGATTAGTCGAATCCAGGCCCTAAAGGTGTCCGTGGGATATAAATTAGACTCTGCTGTGGCAATAAATAACGGGGTGGGGCGGCGGCCTCCGAAACACCAGGCCCAGGCCTGTCCTGCAGGCTCACACGAAATTCTCTTCCTCTTCCTCCGACTCACCATCTGGTGGCTCCTCCAGAAGTGCCTGCAGGGTGGATAAAACATTGAGGGCGCAGGGCAGGGGTTCTCCGGCCCCCAGGACAGGCCTGTGCCCTGCGCCCTGCGTTGCACCTGCGCAGCTGCCGCGTGGCGCGCACCGATGGAGGCGCCCAGAAGCAAGGTGGCCTGGGCGCAGGTGGCACGAGGAGATGTAGGTGATGTTGTTGCCGCAAAGCTCCTGGCCGAGGGCTGGAGGGCACAGGGCAGGTGCCGCCCGACACACCACGCAGTGGCGCTGCCCGTCTGGTCCACGACGCACGGCTGTGGCGCGGGCACGCAGCTCACAGGACTCTGCAGGCCGGGTGCGGGGCAGTTCAGGAGACATCTCGCTGAGAGCCCCGCAGGGCGTCTTGCCCCAAGACCTGCCCTTAACCCCCAAGTTGAGAAAACCCTCTGGTAGGACACAAGCCCCCCGCACCTCCCCATGAGGCCCCCTCTCCATCCCACCCCTTGAGTTCCACCCACAAGCCCTGCCTCAATTGTACCCAGGAGCCACACCCCTTCCAGGAACCCGCCCTTGTTGCCCACAAGTCCCACCCTAAAGCTCCCACAAGCCCTGTCCCGATTGTACCCAGGGTCATTCCCCTTCGAAGCCCCGTCCCCTTACCACCCACAAGTCCACCCACCCACCAGGCTCCACCCACAAGCCCTGCCCCTCCAATTGTACCCAGGAGCCACACCCCTTCCAGGAACCCCGCCCCTTACGTTACCCAAAGGTCCCACCCCTAAAGCTCCCACAAGCCCCACCCCCGATTGTACCCGCAGAGTCACTCCCCTTCCACAAGCCCCACACCTTATATTAGCCGTAAGCCCACCCCTTACCACCACAAAGCCCGCCCACAATCAGGCTCCACCCAGAAACCCTGCTCCTCCCACGAGCCTCGCCCCTTATTGCAAGTCCCAACCCCCATAGAACTCACAAGCCCTGCCTCTGATTCTACCCAGAGTCTCTCTCCTTCCAGAAGCCCACCTCTTGCTAGCCATAAGCCCCACCCTCCTACCACCCACAAGCCCCGCCCCTCCACAGGCCCAACCAACCCCCCTCAGGCTCCACCCACAAGCCTTGCCCCTCCCATTGTACCCAGGAGCCACACCTCCTCGTAACCCCTAACCCTTATTTACCCAAGCCCCGCCCCTCCAGACCAGAGCCGCCCCTGCGCTCCACCCACAAATCCCCGCCCATCTCCACCCAGGAACCACGCCCCAGTCCAGAGCCCCGCCCTTCCATGACCCAAAGTCTCACCCCTGGTTCCATCATGCCCCTCTAGTTACACCCACAAGCCCCTCGCTGCGTCACACTGCCGCTCTGACCATGCCACATACCTCTCGCCCAATGTAGCACTTTGAGGCCCACTACTTTCCAAATCAACCCTACAAAGACCCCACCCCGTATTCTCCCTCAGGAAGTATAAACGCCCCCTTAATTGAGCCCCACCACGCCCCGTGGCCTTATACTGGGCTGGAAGGCCCCGCCCGCCCACGCGCTGCGGCAACAGGCCCCACCTCAGCGGGCCCCGCCCGGAGGCCAGGCCGTCACGCAGGCCTCGCCCTCACGCATTGCAGCAGCAGCCCCGTAACGTGACGCTCAAGGTCAGGTGGCCCCGCCCCAGCCCCGCCCCCACGTACCGCCAGCGGCTACCTCTATACATGACGCACAGGTCTGGTAGAACCGCCCGCCCCTCCACAGACCCGCCCCCACCGTACTGCGGCAGCAACCCGATACATGACGCGCGCAGGTCCGGGTGGCGCGGCAGCTGTGACTCGCAGCTCGCACTCGTCGCGGTAAAATTGGCGCCGTCTGGAGCCGCAGACCTGCAGCCGCGCGGGAGCCCAGAGCAGTCGGGCGCGCACTCGCAGCGCGGGCAGCCCCAGCATGCGGCACGCCTTGCCTGAGCCGCCTCCACGCCGTCGCACGAAGATCTGCGGACACACAGGACACGCGCGTGGGCCGGGCACGGGAGGAGTTCCCGGGCGTGGGGCCATGCGCGAAGGCCTCAGGGTCCCTCCTGCGCCCCCTCTGCGGGGCGGAGGCGGGAGCGCCGTCCCAGGTCAGGTCGGTCAGGTCAGGGCGTTCGGGTTCCAGGGCGGGGCTCCGGGTCGGGGCGCGGGACCAGTGGGGCTGGGGGCGGGGAAGGCTGAACTCGATGCTGCCCCGCTGAGCCGTGGGGTCTCTGCCCGGAATCGGAGGTCCGGCGGAACTACGCAGCCTCAGGCCGCTCTCCTCCTTGTAGCTGGCTGACGTCTGCCCCCGATGCACGCGCCTTTCTGGGAAGGCCGGAGAACTGACGTCAGCCTGGGGTGTTCCGCTCTTGCCAGGCGCGAGTCTGGGGCTGCCAGAATCTTCCCCCAGGAGGCGTCGCGGGAGGCGGGAAACCTGGACACCTCTAGCTGGGGGCAGTTCCAGGAGGGCCGCCCACAGCCCTGGGCCTCTGAACCAGGAGTTGCCCGCAGCCCCTGCTCAGGCAGGGATACTGAGTCCTGCTAGGGAAACTCTCTGAGTCCCCACGCCCGGCACCCAATGTGATGTCCATACGCCACCTAGGCTCATTGCATCCTCCCAAGTCGTATTTTACAGATGGGAAACTGAAGGCCGGAGTCGCAGCTATGAGTGCAGGGGACCCAAGCACCTCAGCAGAAGCTGCAGCAGGACCCAGATGACTGTCCCTTTCTGTTGTCTGTGGGTCTGGTGGGGCCTCTGAACACAGCTGTTGTTTATGTGTCAGCCTCAGTTTCTCTGTGTGTAAAAAGCGGGACTGTGGAGGAGCCCCACTTACAAGGCAGTCAGGCACTCCTTAGAGGTGGCCAGGCGCCCCGAGCGCGCAGCCCTGCAGGGTGTGTGGGGGCGCACCTGGGCCCGGCCCCGCACAGCGGCTCACAGGCACATCTGGAAATGCTTGGCCAGGATGGCTTTCATATGGCCCGAGCGGAAGGGCCTGAGTTCCCGTCCCCAGGACCAGATGAGTTGGGGGTGGGGGTCCTGGGCACGTCTCATGCCCAGGCCAGGCACTTTTGATCTGTCCTTCTCCCAGAAGCCAGAGGGGGAGGTCTGGAGGGGGAGCCAAGGGTATGTGGCAATGGAGTTCAGGACCACCCCTTGCAGGCTGATCTGGGATTAATCACATCTCAGAATGACAGAGTTCCTCATCACCAGCCTTGGGGTCTGCCCACTCCAGCTCCAGCCTCCCCTGGCTCCTCTGACTCACCCCACCCACAGGACCTAACCTCAAGCCATGTTGTCTCCTGATCTCTCCCATAAGCCCAGCTCCATCTGGCAAACTCCTAGACATCCCCCAACACCCCAGCTCTAATGCCCACCTCCTTCAAGTTGTGCCCCAACAGGCCAGGCATGGTGGCTCATGCCTGTAATCCTTTTGGGAGGCCAAGGCTGGCAGATCACTTGAGGTCAGGAGTTTGAGACCAGCCTGGCCAATGGTGAAACCCCATCTCTACCAAAAATATAAAAATTAGCCAGGCGTATCAGCGCACACCTGTAGTCCCAGCCACTGGGAGGCTGAGGAAGAGAATCGCCGAACCCAGGAGGCCGAGGTTGCAGTGAGCGAGATCGTGCCACTGCACTCAGCCTGGGTGACAGAGCAAGGCTCTGTCTCAAAAAAAAAAAAAAAAAAAAAATTCATCCTCCAGTGCAGGGTATGTCTTAACTCATTCATTCGTTCTCTGCCACCCAAAGAGCCCTAGTTTGATAGGAAGGCATTGTCTCAGAGAGGTCGAGTGGCGCAGGCGCGGTGGCTCACGCCTGTAATCCGGCACTTTGGGAGGCCAAGGCAGGCAGATCCCCTGAGGTTGGGAGCCAGAAGACCAGCCTGACCAACATGGAAGACGTCTCTACTAAAAATACAAAAAATTAGCCGGGTGTGGTGGCTTGCGCCCTGTAATCCCAGCTACGAGGAGGCTGAGGCGGAAGTCGCTTGAACCTGGGAGTGGAAGTTGCTGAGTGAGCCGAGATCGTGCCATTTCACTCCTGCCTAGGCAACAAGAATGAAACTCCATCTTAAAAAAAAAAAAAAAAAAACCAGGTCCCAGGCAAATGCTTGACCCAAACATGCAGCTGTAACCCCACCACAGACCACAGAGTCTGCAGTGAGGAGTCCCTGGGTGTAAACATTTGGGGTCACAGGCCAGATGGCAAACCCACTTTCCCAGGAGCTAGGTGTAAGCCAGACATTTATCGAAGAGCCACCCAGGCAGAGGCTCATGGCCCAGCAAAGGCTCAGCCAGTGGAGTCTCAGGGCCTCTTCCTGAGTCCTAAGCTGCCAGGGCTAGGCACCGGAACTGGAGAATTGCCCAGTCCCTCTCTGAGACCAGGATCCCCCTGCAACCCCTGTGACAGGCTCAGTCCCACATGTTTTGCCCTCGACCACCGTGACTGTTTTTGGCTGGTCCTGAGCTGAGATGCCTGCCCTGCTTCTGGCCTGAGGTCTCTCACCTTTGCAGGAAGGCAGTGGACAAGGCCCAAGAAGCCAAGGAGGTTGATCTTGTTCCCCGGGTGAGTGAGGTTGGACCAGGCGGTCGATGCTGCGGGCCCTGGCCTCGGCCAGGTGATCGTCAGACACCAGGCTGCGGTGGCCTCCTGGCCCACCTGCGGCCAGCCACACCTGCGGGCCCAGGGGACAGGAATTTGCTCTCTAGGCCCTCTGACACCCAGCTTCTGGCCCGCCCAGAGATGCATGCAGGTGGTGCTCAGTGAATTTACGCACGATGATCTACCCCAACTTGGGAAGAGGGGGCGAAAGCCATGGGTGTCCCCACCTGGCTCGGGTCCTGGAGATGCCTCCTCCTCTGGCTCTATGCCCCCCACCCTCACCACAACCCTCACCCATCCCAGGAGGTCCCTGTTCCTCCGAGCCCCCAGGCTGGCACAGCACCCTGCCCAACCCGTCAAACACCACCCCCAGCATGCAGGCACTGGGCATGTCCAGATCAGCCCCGGGCCCTGGAACCGCTTCTCCGTCTCTGCCCTCTGTCTAGACAGCACCCGGGGGCGAGGGCACGTGGAGCCCTGCGCCTGGCAGCCCCACCGCCTGGCCCACCTCTTACTCACTCCAACAGACATTTGCTTGCCCAGAGCTCCTGTCTCCCCAGAGTTGTGGCCTTCAGGGAGGGGCTCTGCTCTCCCTTTGTGCGGGCTGGGGTGGGGTGGAACTCTGAGAGATGGGGGTGGGAACCAGAGAGCCCCAGTTTCTTCCTGTCCTGGGGACAGAGACAGCCCTGGCCCTTCCCAGAGCACTCACTGGTTCACAGACACTGCCCAGGGGACCAGCTTGGGGGACCAGCCACCTTAGCACCCATCATGGGAAACTGAGGCCAGGTGAGATAATCTCCTGCCTGGTGCCTCCCGGCAAGTCCCAGGTGTGAGTCTCCATGCCTGGTCTACCCAGGACAGGAAGCTCTCAGCCCCAGCTGGAGGGCCTGGCTCCAGACACCCAGCGCTGCCTCAGGGCACAGGACGACCCAGACAGTCGCAGCTAGAATCCTGGCTTGCCTACAGTCTGTGTGACCCTGAGCCTCAGTTTTGATCTGGAAGACCGGGGCTGAGAGAACTCCATTTACTGGGATAGCACAGGTTCGGGAGGAGGTAGACCTTTAAAGCGCTCAATAAATGTCAGCAGTCATTGTGATTGGAACCTCTGCTCTGCTGACCTCCTGGTGACCTTCAGACCCTCGGCTCCAGCTTGCGCGGACACCGCCCACCTCTTCCCCACCGCCGCCGCGCCCCCCCGACGTCCCCCGGCCGCATTCCGGGCAGCCCCGTGGTGGCGCCACCACCTCTGGCGCCCCCACTCACCGGGCGCGGGAATGCGACCATGAGCCCACAGAAGCCCACGGCCCAAGCCAGGGCCCCACAGGGCCAGAGGCCAGAGTGGCCCGCAACGCCCGGGACGCATGAACGCAGAGACGGCAGCGGCACCGACTTCCCAGCGCGCGACCGGCATTCCTATAAAGGTCCGCGGGCCAGCGGGCAGGGGCGGGAGCACGGGGCAGGGCGCGGCCGGGTGGCAGGGAGCGAGGCCGTGTCCGCGCAGGGTGGGCGAGCGCCAGGCCCGGCCGCTGCGGGGGCAGCTGAAATTGCCTTGGAATCTCAGGCCCAGAGAATGCATCTGGGAGATGTGGCTGGACCAGGGCGGAACTGGGACAGGGTGTGGAGTTCAGGTGGTGGCAGCCTTTCGGGTGGATGGAGGGGCCGTCTCCAGGAGTCAAAGTGGGTTTGGGGATCTTCAGTTGCAGGGGTGGTGGTGAGCTAGCGGGGACCCACGAGAGCACGTCTGTGGATCCCTGCACCCACGTTTCTTGATTTGCATGTGGTCACTTTCATAGTCTGAGCCCCCAACCCGTCCTCCTTGGTCCCGACCTGCCCCACACACCCAAAACCTCAGCTGGATATGGTTCCCTGTTCATGGCGCAGACCGCCACCCCGTCCACCTGGCGTGGAGCCGGCCTGTGGGTGGGGAAGAGGTTGGGTGTGGGACTTAGAGCAGGGTGCGGCAGGGACAGACCCAGAGACACAGCTCCTTCCAGCATCGTGGACAACAGCAGGCCTCGCCCAGCCAAGGCCCCCAGGGAGGCCACCGTCTGTGTGTGTGCGTGTGTGCGTGCACGCCAGGCCTTTGTCCTGGGCCCACAGGCAGCCTCTGCCCCCACAGCCTTCAAGCCTTTGGAAAGGTTCCCAAGTCATATCAACAGAATGTTTACTAAGGTTTTTCCTCTCCCTCAAGGGTCAGCAAACACTGTTTCAAACACTGTTTCCAGCAGGCGTTTCCCCAATTTATGACAGCGACATCTGCGTAGGCCGGAGCGCTGTGCCCGGGGGCTTTGCCGCAGCCAGACACATTTCTACTTGGGAGCTGATGCTGCGGTGGAGGCCTCCCGGATTTGTCAGAGCGCCCGTGGTGAGCTCAAAGGGTTCTGCAGAGCCCCTCTGTTCCTGCTTCTAAGAACCATCAGTGAACATCTCTTGTTGGCCACAGGGCCCTGCAGGAGTGCTGGGGGTAGAAGTAGTGACCAAGGCAGACCCCATCACATGCTCACAGAGCTCCTGGTTTGGAGGGGCCATAGACAGCAAAATGCAGAGACAAATTAATCTGTAACCAAAATTAGTAAATGCTTTCAGGAAAATAAAGAAGGTTGAGATGGAGAGCAGTTAGGTGTCTCCCGAGGTGCCTGTGTCTGGCCACTGGCTGTTCGGCGTTGCCAGCCCCAGGTGTGGTGTTAGAAACAGAGGCGTCCAGCAGCCCCAGGCACAGCCTTCTCTGGTGTAAGTGGACCTGCGTCCACGGAAGACGCACTTGTACCCTTTCCTCCACCTCAGCTGCCCAGCCTGACTCTGTCCCCTCGAAGCCAATGGCCAGGGGCCAGGATTCCTGCCCTAGTGGCCGTGAGAGGACACCCGCCGTCTTGACCTGGCCTTGGCCTCTGGCATTCCTGGGAATCTCCTGGGTTGGGGAGTGGGGCGAGACAGGACCCTGTGTTCTCACTGAGGGTGTGCGGGGCTGGACAGTGTGACCTTGGCCAAGACCTGACCCGCTGTGGCTCAGCCACTCCGGCCTGGGCTGTGCGAATCAAAGGGTCATTGTCTGGCTGGCGTGGGTTCCGGCCCTCTCCGGGGAAACCGAGGCCAGCTGCCAGTGGCCTCCTGCTCCAGCTCTGTCTTCCTCCTAACTTAGAGGCTCTGTGCAGGAGTGACCTCAAGCAGGTCACTGGCCTTTCTAGGGCACTGCCTCCTCCTTGAGACCCCAGTGACGACCTCCCCTCTCCCAGCTCTGCCCCTCTCCCTACCCTATCCAGCCCCGAGGCTCATCCTGAGACTTCCACCCACAGCCTGGCCCCGTGTGCCTACCCCAGCTGCCGCAACAGTTCTCCTGACTCAGACACCACCGTGAGTGCTCGCAGCCTCTACTCACTGCCCCCAGGCTTCTGTCTCCTCAGGAGTAAATCCTGACAGGTAAACAGTAACAATCTAGTGTTGTTCTGTGGTAGAGGATGCCCAGATAGCAGAGGTGCCCCAGGCCTGGGGGGAGACTGAGAGGCTTCCCAGAGGAAGGGATGTTGAGGTTGGGGCAGAGCGTTGGTTGGAATGGCAGGGGTGTGTGCTGGGAAACGGACGCTTGTACTGTGAGTGAGTGAAAGTGCAGTTGGGGTGATCCAGCAGAGCAAACGGCCCCAGGACCACGAGGCCCTCATCCCTGGAACCTGTGGGTGTCACACTCTCTCTGGCCAAAGGGGCTCTGCAGGCGGGACTGAGTTGAGGACTTTCACTGAGGAGCTCATCCTGGGTTACACAGATGGCCCCACTGTCCTCGGCGTCCGTAGAGAGGAGATGCCTGGCCGGGCGCGGTGGAATCCCAGCACATTAGGGGGCTGAGATGGGCAGATCCTTGAGGTCAGGTTCGAGACTAGACTAGCCAACATGGTAAAACCCTGTCTCTACTAAAAATACAAAAAAAAAAAAAAAAAAAAAAGGGTGGGCATGGCGCGTGTGCCTGTAATCCCAGCCATGGGAGAGCTGAAGCGGGAGAATCGCCAGACCCCAGGCGAGCCCGGAGGTTGCAGTGAGCTGAGATCGTGCCATTGCACTCCAGCCTGGGCAACACAGCGAGACTCCATCTCAAAAAAAAGAAAAGAAAGAAAAGGGAATGCATGCCCTCTGTGGTTAGAGATGGGGATAAGAGAAGGACTTGGCTGCCATTGTGGGATTCGGAGATGGAGGAAGGGGGCTCGAGCCAGGGAATGTGGGCGGCCTCTAGGAGCCTGGAAGGCGCAGATTCTGTGGAGCTGCCAGAAGGACTCAGCTCTGCCAGCACCTCGATCTTCCTTACACACCCAGGCTAGACCCTCCGTACTCACCCAGGCTAGACCTCCTCTGTTCCTTCTGGCCTAAGCCCAAGGCCCCTGTTCTAGGACGGTTGGGGCTGAGAAAAGCAGTCATGCCTCTTCAGGAATTACCAGCAGGGAATGCCCAGCCCTCTTAATGGTAGCAATAATTAACAGGTTTATCCCCAAAGGAGCAGAGCAGAAGGGTGGAGTCCTCCCCAGCAATAGGTCTTAGGGTAGGGGCTGCAGCTTCTTAGAGAAAGGCCCTAAATCAGGCGCTCGGTGTCCGGAATGCAGGTCTGTCCCACCCACCAGCCGGCCCCCAGGCCTCCCTTCCTCAGTCCTTCCAGGGGGTTCTGGGATCCCCAATTGGTCCGAATCCAGGCCCTAGGAAGTGTCCGTGGGATATAAATTAGACTCTGCTGTGGCAATAAATAACGGGGTGGGGGGCGGCCTCGGGCACCAGGCCCAGGCCTGTCCTGCAGGCTCACACGAAGTTCTCTTCCTCTTCCTCCGACTCACCATCTGGCGGCTCCTCAGGGGTGCCTGCAAGGGTGGATAAGAGCATTGAGGGCGCAGGGCAGGGGGTTCTCCGGCCCCCAGGACAGGCCTGTGCCCTCGCCCTGCGTTTGCACCTGCGCAGCTGCCCGCGTGGCGCACACCGATGGAGCGGCCCAGGAAGCAGGTGGCCTGGCGCAGGTGGCACGAGGAGATGTAGGTGATGTTGTTGTTGCCGCAAAGCTCCTGGCCGGGGCTGGAGGGCACAGGGCAGGGTGCCGCCCGACACACCACGCAGTGGGCGCTGCCCGTCTGGTCCACGACGCACGACTGTGGCCGCGGGCACACCACACGCTCACAGGACTCTGCAGGCCGGGTGCCAGGGGCAGTTCAGGAGACATCTCGCTGAGAACCCCGCAGGGCTCTTGGCCCCAAGACCTGCCCTTAACCCCCAAGTTGAGAAAACCCTCTGGTAGGACACAAGCCCCCCGCACCTCCCCATGAGGCCCCCTCTCCATCCCACCCCTTGAGTTCCACCCACAAGCCCTGCCCCTCCAATTGTACCCAGGAGCCACACCCCTCCATCCCACCCTTGAGTTCCACCCACAAGCCCTGCTCCCCTCCAATTGTACCCAGGAGCCACACCTCTTCCAGGAACCCCGCCCCTTGTTACCCACAAGTCCCACCCCCTAAAGCTCCCACAAGCCCTGTCCCCGATTGTACCCAGGGGTCATTCCCTTCCAGAAGCCCTGTCCCTTACCACCCACAAAGTCCCACCCACCACCAGGCTCCACCCACAAGCCCTGCCCCTCCAATTGTACCCAGGAGCCACACCCCTTCCAGGAACCCCGCCCCTTACGTTACCCAAAAGTCCCACCCCCTAAAGCTCCCACAAGCCCCACCCCCGATTGTACCCATGAGTCACTCCCCTTCCACAAGCCCCACCCCTTATATTAGCCGTAAGCCCCACCCCCTTACCACCACAAAGCCCCGCCCACAATCAGGCTCCACCCAGAAACCCTGCTCCTCCCACGAGCCTCGCCCCTTGTTACCCAGAAGTCCAACCCCCCATAGAACTCACAAGCCCTGCCCCTCTGATTCTACCCAGGAGTCTCTCCCCTTCCAGAAGCCCCACCTCTTGCTTTAGCCATAAGCCCCACCCTCCTACCACCCACAAAGCCCCGCCCCTCCACGAGCCCAACCAACCCCCCTCAGGCTCCACCCACAAGCCTTGCCCCTCCCATTGTACCCAGGAGCCACACCTCCTCGTGACCCCTAACCCTTGTTACCCAAAGCCCCGCCCCTCCGCGACTGCGGGGCCGCCCACGCAAGCTCCACCCACAAATCCCCGCCCATCTCCACCCAGGAACCACGCCCCAGTCAAGAGCCCCGCCCCTTCCATGACCCAAAGTCTCACCCCCTGGTTCCATCATGCCCCTCTGGTTACACCCACAAGCCCCTCGCTGCGTCACACTGCCGCTCTGACCATGCCACATACCTCTCGCCCAATGTGAGCCCCAGAGGCCCACTACTTTCCAAATCCCAACCCTACAAAAGACCCCACCCCGTAATACTCCCTCGGAAGTGTAAACGCCCCCTTAATTAGGCCCCACCACGCCCCACGTGACATATACTGGGCTGGAGGCCCCGCCCTTACGCGCTGCGGCAGCGGGCCCACCCCTCCAGCAGGCCCCGCCCCCGGAGGCCGGGCCGTCACGCAGGCCTCGCCCTCACGCATTGCAGCAGCAGCCCCGTAACGGGACGCTCAGGTCCGGGTGGCCCCGCCCCAGGCCCCGCCCCCACGTACTGCGCCAGCAGCCTCTATACATGACGCACAGGTCTGGTAGGTCCCGCCCCGCCCCTCCACAGACCCCGCCCCCACGTACTGCGGCAGCGGCCCCGATACATGACGCGCAGGTCCGGGTGGCCGCGGCAGCGCGCGGCTCGCAGCTCGCACTCGTCGCGGTAGGTGGCGCCGTCTGAGCCGCAGACCTGCAGCCGCGCCGGGAGCCCAGAGCAGTCAGGCGCGCACTCGCAGCGCGGGCGGCCCCCCAGCATGCGGCACGCCTTGCCTGGGCCGCACTCCACGCCGTCGCACGAATCTGCGGACACAGGACACGCGCGTGGGGCCGGGCACGGGAGGTTCCCGGGCGTGGGGCCGCGCGAAGGCCTCGGGGTCCCTCCCTGCGCCCCCTCTGCAGGGCGGAGGCGGGGGCGCCGTCCCAGGTCAGGGTCAGTCGGAGTCGGGGCGTTCGGGTTCCCAGGGGCAGGGCTCCGGGTCGGGGCGCGGGACCGGTGGGGCTGGGGGCGGGGGCTGGGCTCGGTGCGCGCAGGCCGTGGGGTCTCTGCCCGGAATCGGGGTCCGGCGGAACTACGCAGCCTCGGGCCGCTCCTCCTTGTAGCTGGCTGACGTCTGCCCCCGATGCACGCGCCTTTCTGGGAAGGCCGGAGGGGCCCCAGCTGCGTCAGCCTGGGGTGTTCCGCTCTTGCCAGGCGCGAGTCTGGGGCTGCCAGAATCTTCCCCCAGGAGGCGTCGGGGAGGGCGGGGCTCTGGACACCCCTCCTGGCCTGGGGAGCGATTCCAGGGGAGGGGGCCGCCCACAGCCCTGGGCCTCTGAACCAGGAGTTGCCCCGCAGCCCCACTGCTCAGGCAGGGATACTGAGGTCCTGCTAGGGAAACTCTCTGGGGTCCCCGCCCCCGCTTTTAATGTGATGTCCATCGCCACCTAGGCTCATTGCATCCTCCCAAGTCATCATTTTACAGATGGGGAAACTGAGGCCGGGTCGCAGCTATGAGTGCAGGGGACCCAAGCACCTCAGCTTGAAAGCTGCAGCAGGACCCAGATGACCTGTCCCCTTTCTGTTGTCTGTGGGTCTGGTGGGGCCTCTGAACACAGCTGTTGTTTATGTGTCAGCCTCAGTTTCTCTGTGTGTAAAGCGGGACTGACGGAGGAGCCCCACTTACAAGGCAGTCAGGCACTCCTTAGAGGGTGGCCAGCGCCCCCGACGCAGCCCTGCAGGGCATGTGGGGCGCACCTGGGCGGCCCCCGCACAGCGGCTCACAGGCACATCTGGAAATGCTTGGCCAGGATGGCTTTCATACAAGCGAGAACGGAAGGGGGCCTGAGTTCCCGTCCCCAGGACCAGATGAGGTTGGGGGTGGGGGGTCCTGGGCCGTCTCATGCCCAGGCCAGGCACTTTTTGAAGTCTGTCCTTCTCCCAGAAGCCAGAGGGGGGTCTGGAGGGAGCCAGGGGTATGTGGCAATGAGTTCAGGACCACCCAGCCAGGCTGATCTGGGATTAATCACATCTCAGAGGCCAACAGAGTTCCTCATCCTGGCCTTCGGGTCTGCACCCCTCAGCTCCAGCCTCCCCCTGGCTCCTCTGACTCACCCCACCCACCAGGACCTAACCTCAAGCCATGTTGTCTCCTGATCCCCTCTCCCATAATGGCGCCATCTGGCAAACTCCTAGACATCCCCCAACACCCCAGCTCTAATGCCCACCTCCTTCAAGTTGTGCCCCAACAGGCCAGGCATGGTGGCTCATGCCTGTAATCCCAGCATTTTGGGAGGCCAAGGCTGGCAGATCACTTGAGGTCAGGAGTTTGAGACCAGCCTGGCCAATGTGATGAAACCCCGTCTCTACCAAAAATATAAAAATTAGCCAGGCGTATCAGCGCACACCTGTAGTCCCAGCCACTGGGGAGGCTGAGGAAAGAGAATCGCTTGAACCCAGGAGGCCGAGGTTGCAGTGAGCCGAGATCGTACCACTGCACTCCAGCCTGGGTGACAGAGCAAGGCTCCGTCTTTAAAAAAAAAAAAAAAAAAAAAAAAAAATTCATCCTCCAGTGCGGAGAGTATATCTTAACTCATTCATTCGTTCTCTGCCACCCAAGAGCCCCTAGTTTGATGGGGAAGGCATTGTCTCAGAAGAGGGTCCCGAGTGGCTGGGCGCGGTGGCTCACGCCTGTAATCCAGCACTTTGGGAGGCCAAGGCAGGCAGATCCCCTGAGGTTGGGAGTTCGAGACCAGCCTGACCAACATGGAGAAACCCCGTCTCTACTAAAAATACAAAAAATTAGCCGGGTGTGGTGGCGCACGCCTATAATCCCAGCTACGAGGGAGGCTGAGGCAGGAGAATCGCTTGAACCTGGGGGGTGGAAGTTGTGGTGAGCCGAGATCGTGCCATTTCACTCCTGCCTAGGCAACAAGAATGAAACTCCATCTTAAAAAAAAAAAAAAAAAAACCGGGTCCCGAGGCAAATGCTTGTTAAACATGCAGCTGTAACCCCACCACAGACCCTGGAGTCTGCAGTGAAGGTCCCTGGTGTAAACATTTGGGGTCACAGGCCAGATGGCAAACCCACTTTCCCAGGAGCTAGGTGTAAGCCAGACATTTATCGAAGAGCCACCCAGGCAGAGAGCTCAGCCCCAGCAAAGGCTCAGCCACGTGGGGAGTCCTCAGGGCCTCTTCCTGAGTCCTAAGCTGCAAGAGACTGAAGCCTGGGAACTGGGAGGTGCCCCCAGTCCCTCTCTGAGACCAGGATCCCCCCTGCAACCCCTGTGACAGGCTCAGTCCCACATGTTTTGCCCTCGACCACCGTGACTGTTTTTGGCTGGTCCTGAGCTGAGATGCCTGCCCTGCTTCTGGCCTGGGGTCTCACCTTTGCAGGGAAGGCAGTGGACAAGGCCCAAGAAGCCAAGGAGGTTGATCTTGTTCCCCGGGTGAGTGAGGTTGGACCAGGCGGTGTCGATGCTGCCGGAGGCACAGCACTCGGCCCGGGTGATGTCAGTCCGGAGCACCAGGCTGCAGGTGGCCTCCTGGCCCTGCTGAAGCCAACACACACCACCTGCGGGCCAGGGGACGGGGTGCTCTCCTGGGCCACTCCTGACACCCAGCTTCTGGCCCGCCCAGAGATGCATGCAGGTGGTGCTCAGTAGTTACGCACGATGACCTACCCCAACCCAGGAAGAGGGGCAGAAAACCACATGGGTGTCCCCACCCTGGCTCCGGGTCCCTGGAGATGCCTCCTCCCCTCTAGCTCTATGCCCCCGCCCACACCCTCACCACCAACCCTCACCCATCCCAGGAGGTCCCCCCTCGTTCCCTCCGAGCCCCCAGGCCGGGGGCTGGCACCCTGCCCAACCCGTCAAACACCACCCAACGCCAGGCACTGGGCATGTCAGGGTCAGCGGGCCCTGGAACCGCTTCTCCCGTCTCTGCCCTCTGTCTAGACAGCACCCGAGGGCGAGGGCACGTGGAGCCCTGCGCCTGGCAGCCCCCCCACCGCCTGGCCCGCCTCTTACTCACTCCAACTTGGGAACATTCCCCTTGCATGAGCTCACTGTCTCCCCAGGGACGTGGCCTTCGGGGAGGGGGCTCTGCTCTCCCTTTGGCGCGGGGCTGGGGTGGGGTGGGGCTGCAGGGATGGGGGGTGGGGAGCCAGAGAGCCCCCAGTTTCTTCCCCTGTCCCTGGGGACAGGAACGGCCACAGCCCCCTTCCCAGAGCACTCACTGGTTCACAGACACTGCCAGGGACCAGCTTGGGGAATGCAGCACCTTGGCACCCATCATAGGGGAAACTGAGGCCAGGAGTGGGGCCGTCTCCTGCCTGGTGCCTCCCGGCAAGTCCCAGGTGTGAGTCTCCATGCCTGGTCTACCCAGGACCCGGGGAAGCTCTCAGCCCCAGCTGGAGGGCCTGGCTCCAGACACCCAGCGCTGCCTCGCGGGGCACCAGGACCGACCCAGACGGTCGCAGCTAGAATCCTGGCTTTGCCGCCTACAGTCTGTGTGACCCTGAGCCTCAGTTTCCCGATCTGGAAGACGGAGATGAAGAGAACTCCGGCACTACTGGGATAGCACGGGTTCCGGGAGGGGAGAGGTAGACACTAAGCGCTCAATAAATGTCAGCGGTCATTGTGATTAGGAACCTCTGCTCTGCTGACCTCCTGGTGACCCCCCTTCAGACCCTCCCGGCTCCAGCTTGCGCCGGACACCGCCCTCGCCCCCACCGCCGCCGCGCCCCCCGACGTCCCCCCGGCCGCATTCCGGGCAGCCCCACGTGGGTGGCCCGCCCCGCCCGCCCCTCTGGCCGCCCCACTCACCGGGCGCGGGGTCCCCCGAGCCCATGGAGCCCACGAAGCCCACGGCCCAAGCCAGGGCCCCCCAGGGCAGAGGCCAGAGTGGCCCTGGCGCCCCGGGACGCATGGCGAACGCAGAGACGGCAGCGGCACCGACTTCCCAGCGCGCGGCCGGCGCTCCCTATAAAGGTCCCGCGGGCCGCGGGCGGGGCGGGGCACGGGGCGGGGCGCGGCCCGGGAGTGGCGGGGGCGAGGCCGTGTCCCGCGCGGGGTGGGCAGGCGCCGGGCCCGGCCGCTGCGGGGGGCAGCTGGGGGCGCGCGCCCGGGTCCCCTCCCGGAGCCAGAGAATGCATCTGGGGAGATGTGGCTGGACCCAGGGCGGAACTGGGACAGGGGTGTGGGTTCGAGGTGGTGGCAGCCTTTCGGGTGGATGGAGGGGCCGTCTCCAGGAGTCAAAGTGGGTTTGGGGATCTTCAGTTGCAGGGGTGGTGGTGAGCTAGCGGGGACCCACGAGGGGCACGTCTGTGGATCCCTGCACCCCGTTTCTGTGATTTGCATGTGGTCACTTTCATAGTCTGAGCCCCCCAACCCGTCCTCCTTGGTCCCGACCTGCCCCACACACCCAAAACCTCAGCTGGATATGGTTCCCTGTTCATGGCGCAGGCCGCCCACCCGTCCACCTGGCCGCTGGAGCCGGCCTGTGGGTGGGGAGAGGTTGGGTGTGGGACAGAACGGGGTGCGGCCGGGACAGACCCAGAGACACAGCTCCTTCCAGCATCGTGGACAACAGCAGGCCTCGCCCAGCCAAGGCCCCCAGGGAGGCCACCGTCTGTGTGTGTGCGTGTGTGCGTGCACGCCAGGCCTTTGTCCTGGGCCCCTGGGCAACTCTGCCCCCCACAGCCTTCCAAGCCTTTGGAAAGGTTCCCCCAGGTCATATCAACAAGAATGTTTACTAGGTTTTTTTCCTCTCCCTCCGAGATTCAGCAAACACTGTTTCAAACACTGTTTCCAGCAGAGGCGTTTCCCACAATTTATGACAGCGACATCTGCGTGGGCCCGGAGGCGCTGTGCCCGGGGGGCTTTGCCGCAGCCAGACACATTTCCTACTTGGGAGCTGATGCTGCGGTGGAGGCCTCCGGATTTGTCAGGGCGCCCGTGGCGAGCTCAAGGGTTCTGCAGAGCCCCTCTGTTCCTGCTTCTAAGGAACCATCAGTGAACATCTCTTGTTGGCCACAGGGGCCCTGCAGGGTGCTGGGGTGCCGTGGTGACCAAGGCAGACCCCATCACACGCTCACAGAGCTCCTGGTTTGGAGGGGCCATAGACAGCAAAATGCAGAGACAAATTAATCTGTAACTTCAAAGAGTGGTAAATGCTTTCAGGAAAATAAAGAAGGTTGAGGAGATGGAGAGCAGTTGGGTGTCTCCCGGGGATGCCTGTGTCTGGCCACTGGCTGTTCCGGCGTTGCCCGCCCCCCAGGTGTGGAAACGGAGGCGTCCAGCAGCCCCAGGCACAGCCCCTTCTCTGGTGTAAGTGAGACCTGCGTCCACGGAAGACGCACTTGTACCCTTTCCTCCACCTCAGCTGCCCAGCCTGACTCTGTCCCCTCGAAGCCAATGGCCAGGGGCCAAGTTCCTGCCCTAGTGGCCGTGAGGGGGACACCCCGCCGTCTTGACCTGGCTTTGGCCTCTGGCATTCCCCTGGGAATCTCCCTGGGTTGGGGAGTGGGGCAGGGACAGGACCCTGTGTTCTCACTGAGGGTGTGCGGGGGCTGGACAGTGTGACCTTGGCCAAGACCTGACCCCGCTGTGGCTCAGCCACTCCGGCCTGGGCTGTGCGAATCAAAGGGTCATTGTCTGGCTGGCGTGGGTTCCGGCCCTCTCCGGGGAAACCGAGGCCAGCTGCCAGTGGCCTCCTGCTCCCGGCTCTGTCTTCCTCCCTAACCCAGAGGCTCTGTGCAGGGTGACCTCAAACAGGTCACTGGCCTTTTCTGGGGCACTGCCTCCTCCTTGAGACCCCAGTGACGACCTCCCCTCTCCCAGCTCTGCCCCTCTCCCTACCCTATCCAGCCCCGAGGCTCATCCTAGGACTTCCACCCACAGCCTGGCCCCCGTGGCCCACTTCCTACCCCAGCTGCCATAACAGTTCTCCCTGACTCAGACACCCACCGTGGGTGCCATGGCCTCTGCTCACCCCCCCAGGCTTCTGTCTCCCTCGAGGTAAATCCTGACAGGTAAACAGTAACAATCTAGTGTTGTTCTGTGGTAGAGGATGCCCAGATAGCAGAGGTGCCCCAGGCCTGGGGGAGACTGAGGAAGGCTTCCCAGAGGAAAGGGATGTTGAGGTTGAGACGAACGTTGGTTGGAATGGCAGGGGTGTGTGCTGGAAACGGACGCTTGTGCTGTGAGTGAGTGAAAGTGCAGTTGGGGGTGATCAGCAGAACGGCGGCCCCAGAGACCACGAGGCCCTCATCCCTGGAACCTGTGGGTGTCCCACTCTCTCTGGCCAAAGGGGCTCTGCAGGCGGGACTGAGTTGAGGACTTTCACACAGGGGCTCATCCTGGGTTATACAGATGGCCCACTGTCCTCGAAGCGTCCGTAGAAGAGGAGATGCCTGGCTGGGCGCGGTGGAATCCCAGCACATTAGGGGGCTGAGATGGGCAGATCACTTGAGGTCAGGAGTTCGAGACTAGACTAGCCAACATGGTAAAACCCTGTCTCTACTAAAAATACAAAAAAAAAAAAAAAAAAAAGGGTGGGCATGGCGGCGTGTGCCTGTAATCCCAGCTACTTGGGAGGCTGAAGCGGGAGAATCGCTTGAACCCGGGCGGCGGAGGTTGCAGTGAGCTGAGATCGTGCCATTGCACTCCAGCCTGGGCAACACAGCGAGACTCCATCTCAAAAATAAAAAGAAAAAGAAAGAAAAGGAGATACCTGCCCTCTATGGTTAGAGATGGGATAAGAGAAGGACTTGGCTGCCATTGTGGGATTCGGAGATGGAGGAAGGGGGCTCGAGCCAGGGAATGTGGGCGGCCTCTAGGAGCCTGGAAGGGCGCAGATTCTCCTTGGAGCTGCCAGAGGGAACTCAGCTCTGCCAGCACCTCGATCTTCCCCCAGCGAGACCTGTGTGGAACTTCTTTTTTTTTTTATTTTTGAGATGTCGTCTCGTTCTGTCGCCCAGGCTGGAGTGCAATGACACGATCTCAGCTCACTGCAACCTCCGCCCCGCCGGGTTCAAGCGATCCTTTTGCCTCAGCCTCCCGAGTAACTGGGATTACAGGCGCCCGCCACCACGCCCGGCTAATTTTTTGTATTTTTAGTAGAGATGGGGTTTCACCGTGTTAGCCAGGATGGTCTCGATCTGACCTCGTGATCCGCCCGCCTCGGCCTCCCAAAGTGCTGGGATTACAGGCATGAGCCACTGTGCCCGGCTATTTATTACTTTTATTTATTATTTATTTGAGACAGAGTCTTTACTCTGTCACCCAGGCTGGAGTGCAGTGGCGCGATCTCGGCTCACTGCAACCTCCACCTCCCAGATTCAAGCGATTCTCCTGCCTCAGCCTCCCAGGTAGCTCAGATTATAGGTGCCCACCACCACGCCTGGCTAATTTTTGTATTTTTAGTACAACACCCGGCCATTTTATCTTTTTGAGATGGGGCCTCACTCAGTCGTCCAGGCTGGAGTGCAGAAGTGCGATCTTGGTTCACTGCAACCTCAGCCTCCCGATTAACTGGGATTACAGGCGCCTCCCACCACACCTGGCTAATTTTTTTTTTTTTTTTTTTTTATAGAGATGGGATTTTGCCATGTTGGCCAGGCTGGTCTCAAACTCCTGACCTCAGGTGATCTGCCCACCTTGGCCTCACAAAGTGCTGGGATTACAGGTGTGAGACACCACACCCAGCCCGTGTGTTGCTTTAAACCAGGAAGTTTGTACAGATTTGTTATAGCAACTATAGGTGCCCACTGTGTGCCAGGCCCGGAGACCCTTCTATGCTTGTTTTCTTTTTCTTTTTCTTTTTCTTTTTCTTTTTCTTTTCTTTTTTCTTGAGAGAGAGAGAGTCTCGCTCTGTCGCCCAGGCTGGAGTGCAGTGGCCAGATCTCAGCTCACTGCAAGCTCCGCCTCCCGGGTTTACGCCATTCTCCTGCCTCAGCCTCCCGAGTAGCTGGGACTACAGGCGCCCGCCACCTTGCCCGGCTAGTTTTTTGTATTTTTTAGTAGAGACGGGGTTTCACCGTGTTAGCCAGGATCGTCTCGATCTCCTGACCCCATAATCCGCCCGTCTCAGCCTCCCAAAGTGCTGGGATTACAGGCTTGAGCCACCGCGCCCAGCCCTTTTTCTTTTCTTTTCTTTTTTCTTTTTTTTGAGAGAGAGTTTTGCGCTTGTTGCCAAGGCTAGAGTGCAGTAGTGTGACCTCGGCTCACTGCAACATCTGCCTCCTGGGTTCAAACAATTCTCGTGCCTCAGCCTCCCGAGTAGCTGGGATTACAGGCAGGCACCACCAGGCCCAGCTAATTTTTTGTATTTTTAGTAGAGACAGGGTCTCACCATGTTGGCCAGGCTGGTCTCGATCTCCTGACCTCAGGTGATCCAGCCGCCTTGGCCTCCCAAATTGCTGGGATTACAGGCGTGAACCACCGTGCCTGGCTTATGCCTGTTTTCTTATCTGTAAAATGGGCAAAGACCCCAGTGCTACAGGTTCCAGGTGGGATGTGGACAGTACCGGGCGCACAGTAGGACCACAGCATGCATGCGTGGATTCCTGTTAATCACCTAGTTAATAGGTGCGCACCAGGACGGGACCATGGTGAGTCCCCTTTGCTGCTTGCCGGGAGGCTGTGAGGCAGGCACCCCATTTATAGGCGGCAAATGAGGTTGGAGGGTGGGAAGTGACTTTCTTGGAGTCACAGCCCTGCAGAGTCAGGACTAGGGTCAGCACCAAGTTCACAAGCTTCCAGGACCCGTGTACTGCCCATGCACGACGAGGGCCAGCCCAGGGCTGCTTCCCCACTTCTGCTCCCAGCACCATATTTTCCTCTGGGGAATCATCTCCAATCGTCCCAGCACAAGGGACCCCAGGAATGGACACCCGCGCATGCCCAACCAGTGAGTGAGGCTTCTCTGACACTCAGAAAACCAGGCCGGGTGCGGTTGCTCACGCCTATAATCCCAGCACTTAGGGAGG